CCGTCTAATGTGGTTGTTTTTTTATTTGTTTAAATCATACCCATCCTTTGTGTTTGTAATTTATCTGTTTGAATATAATAGAATCTGTCTCTTATACACATCTAGATGTGTATAAGAGACAGGTATAATAGTCTTATAATTAAAATCGTTAATATGTAAGGTATGTAAGGAATGTATTACATGATGGGGATATAACAAAACATTCTGTACTATAACGTGTGTGGTTCCTCAAAAGAAAATGCAAAAATTGTTCGTTAGCACTTCCTTCTATATTTACACATCATTAGGCCTATATGAAAGATATTTTTATAAGACTCACGAAAAGACTTGTTGTAAATACCATACACAATCGGATTTAACATAGAATCAATGTATAGCGGTAAAAAACAGACATAATATAAGATGCTACACCGACGACTTTCTTCTTGGGCAAACGCTATGCTGTGAATAGTTGAAGGTAGTACACTGATGCTAAAAACACCAAGTAATATTGAAGTTACCCTCAATGCTTTGAAATCGCTTCTCTTAGCCTGCATTACCTGACTGGTTGAGAATGACACTTTTCTAGCCCTTTTTTTTGCTTCGTAGTATATACGCAGATGAAAGACGTACGTTGGAATTGCAATAATAATCTTGCCTATGTAACTCACCTCGTTATACACATCTGCATCTGTCTCTTATACACATCTAGATGGGTATAAGAGACAAACCGAGGAATAAAACATATGAATAAGATGAGAGCTAACATTAAACCGTTTCATTCTATATACAAAATACATTCTTTTATTTGCCTTGGTACGGATTTCTTTAGTGTTGCTTTCCCAGTTAAGTTCATTATCAATAATCAGTCCCAGATACTTGTGTTTTTCAACAATTTCCACCCTCTCATTATCGATTACAATATTTTCATGATTAGTTTTATTTTTCCTTCTGAAATCGACAATAACTTCCTTTGTTTTCTTTGCATTTAGTTCAAGAAAATTCTCCTTACACCAAAGAATAAAAGATTCAACATAGTCATAAAACAAGGATGTGTCATTTTTTGAAATCAAACCAATCAGGCAAGTATCATCAGCAAACTTAATATTAAATGATTTACTTGGATCAATATTACTACAAAAATCAGAAGAGTATACCGAAAGAGCCAGGGCGACAAAACACACCCCAACCAGATGAGTCTCCAAGGTAAAAAAAGCGTCCATAAAAAGCAGGTTGAAGACAAGTAACGATACCAAGTGCACCAGTTTAAAAATCTAAAATTGCCATACTGGCTAGTATTATGTAACACGGTTTGTGCAACGATCGGATATTGTAGACAGAAACAATTACGAATATATTTCCTGTAACAATACACAGTGTTATCAAACCATGAGGAATTATTCACAATTCCCTCTTCCATATTCTAGTTACAGCATTTATCGGAACAGCAACACGTTAAAAGTCCGACGGCAGGAAGAGGAAGCAGCCTAATTTTCTTGAGAGTTCATTCTTTCATTAAGATAAAAACACACTTAAATTATCGGGAAATATTTAAAGCATTAATCTTAAAACGTTAATGGAAATACCAGTCTGAAAGCATTACAGTTTTCTCTGTCCAAACACATTCATCATGGAGATATATCTTGCATCGATCATAATATAACGAGTGTTCGTGGTAAGAAGCTCTGATATTTTCATCACTCACACTGAATAGACAGTCAAGTATTGTACAACATGATTGACTTTTTATATCAATCTTCAAATTGATGTTCTTTGTACCTAATTGATCTCATTGCCTCTTTAATATCGTCATCTGTCAAATTGCTTTCAGACGATACATACTGCATTATCCGTCATAACCTGTTCATAATAGACCTTGTCAATGTATGTAATAACGTAGTTACTGATTTGAGTAATTTATAATAAAGATGTCATGATTGATATTAAAGAGGGTGTCATTAAAACAGCCAGAAGCAAAATGAAGATAGAACAGTACAGAAAAATAGAAAAGAAGACAACAACTACGACTGTGTGCGGTTTTTTTTAAACATAAGGAATTAGAATTATCAACCAAGTAATCTTCTAAAGAGTTGTGAAAGAAACAAATTCCAGTGGCTCCTAGCAAGTCTGTTGCGTCGTAGTTATTACCATAATAATAGGTTACTTCAATAATATGTTCATCTATTTTATAGGCCTAGATAATTATATACATTATAGTATAATAGTCTTATAATAATATTTTTTTTTTTAAATCGTTAATATGTAAGGTATGTAAGGAATGTATTACATGATGGGGATATAACAAAACATTCTGTACTATAACGTGTGTGGTCCCTCAAAAGAAAATGCAAAAATTGTTCGTTAGAACTTCCTTCTATATTTACACATCATTAGGCCTATATGAACGATATTTTTATAAGACTCACGAAAAGACCTGTTGTAAATACCATACACAATCGGATTTAACATAGAATCAGTGTATAGCGGTAAAAAACAGACATAATATAAAATGCTACACCGACGACTTTCTTCTTGGGCAAACGCTATGCTGTGAATAGTTGAAGGTAGTACACTGATGCTAAAAACACCAAGTAATATTGAAGTTACCCTCAATGCTTTGAAATCGCTTCTCTTAGCCTGCATTACCTGACTGGTTGAGAATGACACTTTTCTAGCCCTTTTTTTTGCTTCGTAGTATATACGCAGATGAAAGACGTACGTTGGAATTGCAATAATAATCTTGCCTATGTAACTCACCTCGTTATACACATCTGCATTGTACAATGGTGAGAGGATGAAAGCAACCCATAGTATTTCTGTCGTCCACATAGAAATTAAGAATATCACTAACGATCGATTGTGCACTTTTACAGTGTACACATATGGATACATGATAGCAAAATATCTCTCTCCCGCTAATACAAGGTGGTGAAATAGAGAGGCTCCCATAACTGATATTAACATTTTCTGAAGAAGCCATCCAACTTTATCTCCAAGGTATATAAAGCGTCCACAAAGAGCAAGACGGACCACAACAACAACGCCAATTAACCCTGTTAATGTATCTAAAATTGCCATGCTAGCTAGCATTATGTAACACGGTTTTTGCAATGATCGGATACTGTAGACAGAAATAATTACGAATATATTTCCTATAATAATACAGAGTGTTATAACTCCAAAAGGAATTGACAAAATATTAGGAAACACACAAATTGGAGTGGAATCTGTATAATTGTTCACCATGCTGAAGGCTTTTATAGACACCACGTTCTCGTCGATATTGCGTACCGGTAACTTAAATAAATTAAGTTCATGGATACAGTAATATTGAACAGCCTACTTGAATGTCAACTATAAATACATGTATTAAATGAATTACACGATCTCACGATCTAAATATCTTCACCACTACGATCTTGCACCATAAGAACAACTGGTATTTCCATCGCTCTTGCTGTAACTGTCGACTAATGTTCAGTACGAGTAAGCTTCATAAGGCTCTTTCCTCACTATCAAATTTTATTTGACAAAAAATTTTGTCTTTGATTGCGATGCCTTTTATGTTAAACGTCATGTGTAAACAATTGGTCAATTATCTATTTTCAGCCTAATTTGTTTTTCAAAATACAGTATTTCCTAATTAAACTTCACTGAAAGTATATTACATTCCGTCACGACCTGCTCATAAACTATCTTATCATTTGAAAATTAATTTATATAATTATTTATTTGTTTGCACAGGCATGGTGTAAAGGAGGTGTCACCAAAATAGTGCTGCGAAGAAAAGGAAGTATAAAATAAATTCTACATTGAATTGAATATAATAGAATATTATAAAAGCATATATACAGAATTCTAGTTTGTAAAATAGAACATGCTTTTCCGCATTGAAATGATGTCTGATGTTAAAATTATAAAGTAAAAAAAAAAAATCTTAAGGAAATAAATAAAAAAAAAAACAAACTCATGGTTATAGCTGGATTATTTTTTTTTTATTAGAACCAGCGGAGATAATAATAAATATTACCTCAGTGACGTTTCTGGTCCAATCAGGTACCTTTCTTCAGACTGATTACATGTTGGATTGGTCTCGGCGTTGATGTTTAGTTACGCCCTCTAACGCCCGGTGTTTAACGGTAGCACGTTCCCCTCGCCCCCCCCCCACCCACCTACCCGTCTTTGCTTTCTTGATTAAGTTGTCATTAATGTGCGAAAAGTTCATAACCCCTACATCTCTGTTCATGCTTTCCCCACCCCTTGACAAATGCATCCTCTGAAAGTGCCTAAAATTCTAAAATTCTTTGCGCGCATTTTTTGTTACGGTAGGCCAATTTCCTCTATAAATTGCAGATTTTTGGGAGTTTTCATCAATTCCGACGAAATTAGAATTAAAAACACAAAAATATTTTGCGCGCTTGGCGCGCATTTTTTAGTTTTATCCTTTTAAGTTATTTAACACATAATAGTCCCAAACTCAAGAAAGACAAATTTAAGAGAGATCATTTTAACCTAAAAGAAGGGCCTCAATGTGTATAGATGGCGAAAGAATATGTTTGTAATAAATAAAACCATGATGAAAATGCTTATATTTAGTTTCAAACACACGTGTGTGGCCTATATTATAAATAAGATGAGCCCTATGTCGTATTGTTTTCTATATGGGGAGTGGGGTGGGGTGGGTATGGTAAATTACTAACCGGGAAATGAGGATTGTATGTTGTTATTGTTATTATTATTATTATTATTATTATTATTATTATTATTATTATTATTATTATTATTATTATTATTATTATTATTATTATTATTATTATTATTATTATTATTATTATTATTATTATTATTATTATTCAGCATTTCATGTGTTATACCCATGTCGATCAAATACAATTTCTATTTAATTACAAAGTCTAGGTGCCGTGTTTTTAAAAAATTTAATCTTTACAAATACATCAAAACATGTCCATGCCAGACACTAAAACAACCAAGAATGATTAAAGTTACCCGCGCTACTTTGAAGTCGCTTCTCTTGGGCTGTACTGCCTGATTTGTTGAGGATGATACCTGTGTACTGTCGTACTTTGTAACCTGTCGCACTTTGTAACAAATCTGTCACGCTTTGTAATAACCTGTCGTACTTTGTAATAACTGTTGTCGCACTTTGTAATAATCAACATGTCGCACTTTGTAAGCTGTCTGTCATACTTTGTAATACGCAAAGCTGTCGCACTTTGTAATAAAGTCTGTCGCACTTTGTAATAACTTGTTTCATTCAACTATGTTATAACTTTTAATGGATATAAAACATATTGTAGAATGTTACATATTATGGATGACTAATACTAAAAGGTCAATGTCATATATAAGTTTTACTAATAATTTGTATTATAATTTTCCAACTCGGTGACTTACTGGATTACGTCGTACGGTAATGCCAAACCAACAAATGTGAGATTTTCTTTTCTTGTGCGCGTGCATGGTACTACAAGGTCAAGGTCATAAACAAGTTTTACTTTTAATTAGAATTAGAATTTTAAAACTCGGTGGCTTACTGCTTTGTATTTAGTCCCAAATAAGCGTATGTTGTGAGATTTATTTTTATTGCGCTCGTGTCTGGTACTAAGAGCCTGAGGTAAAGGTCACATACAAGTTTTACAAATACTTGTGATTATAATTTTAAAACTCCGTGGCTTACTGCGTTGTATTTAGTCCCAAATAAATGTAGGCCTATATTGTGAAATTTTTTTTATGCGCTCGTATATGGTACTACGAGGTCAAGGTCTTATACAAGTGTTACAAAATACTTGTGCTTATAATTTTAAAACCCGGTGGCTTACTGCGTTGCATTTAGTCCTGAATAAATGTATATTATGATTTTTTTTATAGCGCTCGTTGAGAGAGAGAAAAAAAGAAGTGTATTTTCTGCATATTGGTAGACCCTAAATCGATAAAGCCTTTAAACCCCACTTAATGTGATATTTTTTGGGAAGCCCCGTGGAACGCTTTTAAGGGATTTTGAGCGCCGCCCGGCCACGCCCACTTTTTTGTCAGGCTTCCCCTCACCCCCCCCCCCCCCCCCCCCCCACCAAGCGTTATTACAAAGTGCGACAGGTTAATACAAAGTGTGACAGATTTGTTACAAAGTGCGACAGGAATTACAAAATGCGACGATTATTACAAAGTGCGACAGGTACACACCTGACGAGCTTTCCTTTTCGCTTCGCAGTATATACGCAGATGCGTCCTCTATTTACATATTATTTTATGAAACATATTTTTATAAGATTCACGAAAAGACTTGTTGGAAACACCATATACAATTGGGTTTAAAATAGAATCAATGTATAGCAATAAATAAGAGAAATAAAATAGAAGTCGGCATCGACTGTTTTCGTCTTCCTCGAAGACAATGCTGTATATAATTAAAGGCAGTACACACATACTAAAAACACCAAGTATTATTGAAGTAACCCGCGCTGCCTTGAAGTCGCTTGTTTTAGGCTGTACTGCTCGACTGCTTGAGGACGACACCTGACGAGCCTTTTTCTTTACTTCACAGTATATACGCAGATGACAGGCGTAAGTTGGAAGCGCTATCATAATCAGGCCTACGTAATGCACCTTATTATATACATCCTCATTGTACAACGGTGAGAGAATAATAGCTGTCCATAGAAGTCCAACTGTCCACATAGCAATTAAAAATAATACTACCGATCGATTGTGCACTTTTACAATGTACCTATATGGATGCATGATGGCAAAATATCTCTCCCCAACTAAAATCAGATGGTGAAAAAGAGACGAACCCATTGTTGATACGACCAGTCTCTGAAGGAGCCAACCAGATGAGTTTCCAAGGTAAAAAAAGCGTCCATATAACGCAAGTTGGAGACAAATAATGATACCAAGTACCCCGGTTAATAAATCTAAGATTGCCATACTGGCTAATATTATGTAACACGGTTTTTGCAACGATCGGATATTGTAGACAGAAACAATTACGAATATATTTCCTGTAACAATACAGAGCGTTATCAAACCTTGAGGAATTGACAAAGTATTAGGAAACACACAAATCGCGGAAGTTAAATCTGTGTTGTTCATTATGTCCCCTTTTATGTTTTTATTACAGCACTAACTGGCATCAACTTGTTAATTAGTCCAAATGGAGCAGCTCTATTTTATAGAGATCGTTTTTTCCTTTTTTTTAAATTAAGATAAAAACACAGTTTATCAATCACTATAGAAGTACTTCAAGCCTTAAAAATGTTAACGTAAATACAGCCTACAGTCTCATCAGTCCAAACGCATTTACCATGAAGATGCTTTATCGATATTGATATGACATACTGAACTGTCAAATATTTTGCACGTGACTGTGTTTTTATATAAATCGTCTATTTGATGTTCTCTTTATCTCTTCTAGTTTGTATAATAAATAACCACTAATTTCTATAAGCCTTAAAATGTTCACGGAAATACCAGTCTTAAAAGCAGGCCTATTACAGTGCTCTCCGTTCAAACTCATTCAACATAGAGATGTTACATCGATTATTAAATGATTAAGAGTGTTCGTGGGAGAGCTAGCTCTGACATTCTCATCACTCATACTGAACTCACCGTTAAGTATTGTACAGCATCATTGAGTTCTTATATAAATCGTCAATTTGATGTTAGTTTATCTAATCGATTTCATTTGCCTCAAATATCGTCATTTGTCAAATTGCTTTTAGCCGAAATATACTGCATTTTTCGTCATAACCTGTTCATAATATACCTTGTCGATGTATGTAATTACGTAGTTATTGATTTGAGTAATTTAAAATGAAGACGTCATGATATTGTTATAAAAGAGGGTGTCATTAATATAGAGGCAATGTGTAGATACAACAGTGCAAAGGAATAGACAAGAAGAGAACAACTACGACTGTGTGCATGGCGTTGTATTTTTAAACAGAAGGAATTAGAATTATCGACAACCAACTGATCTTTTAAAGAGTTGTGAAAGAAACAAATTCCAGTGGCTCAGCAAGTCTGTTGACTCGTAATTATTAGGCCTACTATAATAATAGGTTACTTCAATAATATTTCATGGGCCGGATAATTATATACATATAGTATAATAGTCCTATAATATATTTCTTTTTAATCGTTAATATAAGGTATGTAACGAATGCATTACATGGTGGGGATATAACAAAACATACTGTACTATAACGTGTGCGGTCCCTCAAAAGAAAATGCAAAAATTGCACCATGGTGTTTCTTTGCTGAATAGGAGAAATCTTCTTAGCTTGCAGTATGAAATATATTTCTTGTTCGGTTATGTGATCATGATGGAATGCAAACTTGGTGCTTTTTAGTAGATTTTCGGTGATAGATGGGTAAAAATCGCAGATGTCGAAGCAGATGAATGAGTAACGTGGTTTGTTTAGAATAGTGTTATACCATTATAACGTCATCAGTCCTGCTCATTGGTTTAGCTTGGTGTTTTCCAAGATTTTCCTGTTTATTCGTTTAAGTATTTGCATGCAGATGATTCCGAGTTCTGATTTGGATGGATTTATGAGTCTGCATGTCGGTTTATTGCAGAAGTTTGGCTTGTAATTCCTTAGTGTCACGAATGCTAAGCACATCTCCAAAAGACACCCATCTCGAAAAGTGACAAATCGAAGGATCCTAAAAAAAAGGTCAGGGCTTCTATTCGACGTTTTACGGTACATACTTTTGTATCCGATGGCAATACACTAACATTCGATAGAAATAGGCATACATTAAAACAGTAATTCATAATAATATTGAAACACAGTAAAACTACAGTAAAAGAGACCAGTAAAGGTACACACTTGACAATAAATTACTTATACATTAGAATACAATTATCAAATACATCAAAAAAGTAAATATAACAAAATAGCATTAAAACAGTACAAGACAATACAAGAGACACAGTAAACAATATATAAAATCACGATACATTCATTAAAATAATAATGTTATAATTTAAGAGAATTATAACATTATTATTTTAATGTTATAATTTAAGAGAATTGAATATAGTTATAAAATTTAAGGATCTTAATTCACATTTGCTAAAATTTCGCTTTTTCATTCTCTATTTATAGGCTGTTTATTCTTGGCGAAGATGTTGTTTTAATAGAAAATTATGCTATTAAAACAACATCGTTTGCAGATGACGATGTTGCTTTAATAGCGTCATTTGCTTTTAAAAACAACATCGTCTGCAAAGAATAACAGTCCATTTGTGTTTCATTTATATATAGGCCTACCACACTCTGCTGTGAACGGAACATATTTGATAGCTCTTTGATAGAAAAAAAAAAAGGATCGGTGACAAAAATACAGCTCATGGCGTTTTTTTAACAGAAGGTTTCAAAATGATCAAAACTAATATTTTTAAAAATGTGTCAAGTAAAAGAATTCCAGTTGCTCCCAGCCAGTGTGTGTAGTGTCTTAATTATTATCATAACATCGCCTTCGATGACGCCTTCACGAAGAGAAAGAAAACGAGTCCATATGTACAATATTTACACAGGGAACAGTGAAATTATATACATTTGCTTCTAATTCCCTATCTCATACAAGTTACATTTTTAAAATCCTACATAAACTTCTCCCCTTAATTCTAAGTTAATATCCTCCTAATTAAGTGGTTTCTTGGTCATTAGGCGAGACTTTTTTATTTATCATTGTTTCACGTACTTATTTTTTAAAGATCATCAGAGTAGGGCGGAAGAAAAATAAAAATAAAACGGTGAGGATGAATAAAGTGATGTCTATGTCTATGTCTTTGAGATGGACTGGCCCTATATATCCTATGCCTATACGTGGATGTCAATTATGAGCATAGGGAGTAACAGATGTTTCATATGTTTAGTCTTCTATTTTCAGACATAAGGGACAAGATCTAGCATATTATCTGGCTATATCAGAAAACAATCCTGACCAAAAAATAAATAAATAAATAAATAAAAATTAGAAGAATCCTGTTCTTTGTTTTCTCCACCCATGTCCTGCTATAGCAAATCGTGTCCTATTTCCATTATTTCTAGTCTATACTTTTTGGGCACAACACTTTTTGTTCTATTTCATCTTGATGTATTTTTTCTCTGCCTTTTTCTCATTAGTACCCCCCCCCCCCGCCACCCATCACTCGTACAAAAACAGACTCGGAGTTTATGTATGTCATTTTCTAAAGCTACGGTACCCTGTCCCAAATTTAACGTAAGGAATAATCTTGTTTTTGTATTTTAATTAAGGTCTGTCTGTCAAAAGTTACAATGCCACCATCTAAGACAATATTCTTGTCCCCTTCCTTTTGTGATACCTGTTGATTAGGAGGCCGGCCTATCATTAACATACTGTCAACGTCTGAATTCTTAGTTTCATCTGTATTTGATTTCCCCATCAAATTGGGTTTGTTTACCAATATCGGCATTATTAGTATTGCTAATTTTCGGTTTAAGTTCTTTGACTTGATTAGGCTACCTAAGTCGTCCATTAATTAATTCTGATGCAAATTTAGCATCATCAAGGTTAATTTTCTGGACCTGCCCTCTAGTCATAATGCAAATGTCTGTTGCCGTTATTCGAGCACACATCGTATCTAAATCATGACCCAAAATTAGGCATACACCTTATGAAATCCGTCCACTACTGCTACCTTAACTGGCTCTGATAAAACATTACTTTTGATGTCTACTATAACTATATGCTCGTATTTTTCCACCTATTTCTCGTTAACACAACTCATTTGTATAACATGCATTGGGAATTATACTGCCGTCCACAGCAGGCTGCGCATGCAGTGTCTCACTCAAAGTATACTTTCCTGCCTTTACCAACCCATCAATAACACACTGGTTCCTTCTGTTTTCAGCCTCATCGGCATTAGGTGATTGTTCATGACACCTGTATCCTGATTTGATATTTGGATTATTATGTCTATCAAGACAAAATGTTTGGGACGATTTACAGTCCAGACGCGTGCACAGCCCTGAAGAAATATATCGTAGCACCATTCTTACAAAATATCTTAGTACCATTATTGGCATATTTTGAGTTCCTATTTATGTCCATTAAAATATCGTAAAAGATAATTTTACAAAAAACATTGATGAGTTGTTTCTCACGCAGAACATTAACTACTGACACTATTTATTGTCGTTTCTATTTCATTTCATTTAATCAATATTCAGGTAAAAGTAATACAAGACACAACAAACAATCAACAAGATGTATTACCTGAGGATTGGCAAAAGTGCAAGCAATATCAAGTTGCTCTCCTATACTAAACATCTTTACAGAAAAAATATACCTTAAAAACCACTATATGAGATACACATACAACAGCAAAAACTATCGGAATAAATATTAACGTTAAGATAAAATGTATATAGGCCTTTATCGCCATCTTTATTCATCTCCGAGTTCCCGACACAGAGGGCTCACTTCCAATATTGCATAATACCGAAGACACTAGAAATACTCACATAGCAAAAAAGAGGCGGAAATTGGTTCAGACGTAGGCGGCGCCCTTCTCTTTTTATATTGCTAGTTTTCTATACTTGGTCCAGACGTAAAGGGCGCCCTTCTGTCGCTAGGCTGGCTCGGCATAACGAAAGAAAGATCTTTGGTATAACCAGACGCAAGCGGCGCCCTTCTTTTTCCACTATGGAGGAAAACTTTATTACTAATCAGAGTCCGGTCATATGAATCTGCGCTTTTGTGTTTGTCATTTTATTGTTTTGATTTATTTATACCTACTTGTTTGTATCTTATGGATGGCAACGATTTCAACCTCCCCAAAAGGAGGTTATGTATTCACAGTTATGTAACGGTGGCAGAAGTTTTTTTAGATCCAGTCATACGCGGCGCCCCATTGTTTGTATTCCCACCATGCATTTCAGTGGAACAGAGTTTTTTCTGTGGCGAACTCTATCTTGTTTCTAGTATCTTTGATAATACAATCAACACACACAGGAGTCTACAAAATATTGGACGAGGACTTGTTACGCTGCAAAAGCAACACATGTTGGAATTCATTTGTCAAATTACGTTATTAAGTCAGTACAGAGAAAGAGCAGAGTATTAGATGCAGTAGAACGTTCCACTTCAGTGAGTGCGGCTGATACAAATGCGTATAATGTTCACAAAATATAATGGAATAAAATATATTATAAAGCGACCATGTTAATCACTAAAATAAATCAGTGACGAATACAGAACTTTTACATCCATCCATTTTACCATGTATTAATTGTATAATCCATTTTTACAATACGGTATCCTTTACCGAAAGGTCCACTGATTAATCTCAGATAAGATAGGAAAATACATACTCCAAGTTTATTATGTCATCATCAGGAATCACGTGTTGGAATTCATTTGTAAAATTACGTTAGTTACAGTACAGAAAAGAGAGCAGCAGGGTATTCAGATGTAATACCGGTAGGTAGGAGAACGTTCCACTTCAGTGAGTCCTTTACCAGTAGGCCTATCTCTATAAACAAAATTATTATTGGCTCGCGCTCATGTTCTTTATTTAAAAGTCAATTTGACTTTCATTTGCAAAGGTCTTTCTAAAATTAGCAGTATTCAATATCATTTATAATATTCTGTTATATATGTCAATACTTGCAGCCTTCACAGAATTATTTAAATAATACATATGGGGTGATAATCGTCAACGTCCAGACCCCCACCCCACCAACACCCTTAACATATTGGCTTTTAAGTCTCTCAAAAGATGGGAGGGTGACAAGAGAAGACAGTTAAACTTATTTATACCCCGCCGAAGGCTGTAAGCTGAGTTTGGCCCATTATGGTTATATCTGTTGGGCGGCTTTAATATGATAGCGTGTCAGTATAAAGCCGGTTTTTGACTAGGCGAATTTATTCGCGCAAATCGAAAGCGTCGTTCATGCGCATGCGCATTCAATTTCTATCGGAGTTTTCGCTTCAACGAAATTGGTAGTTTGAACTTCGCCTAGTGGAAAACAGGCTTTAATAGTATTTTATTTTACAGCATGGTTAAAATTTAAAAAATAGAATTTCGAATTCCATAGTTAAAAAAGGACGTATAGTAGCGATTACAGAATTTACAGCGCTCATTTTGAAAACAAGAGCCCACCCGCCTTTTTTTTAGTTTGCAAAAGTAATCTCAAACAGAAGCCCATTTCGAAAAGAGACCCATCTCGAAAAGTGGCCCATCCAAGGATCCAAAAAAAAAAGAAGAAGATCTGGGCTTCTATTCGAGGTATTACGGTATACACTTTTGTATCCGATGGCAATACACTAATGTACGATAGAAATAGGCATACATTAAAACAGTAATTCATAAGAATATTGAAATACAGTGAAACTACAGTAAAAGAGACCAGAAAAGGTACACACTTTACAATAAATTACAAATACATTTAGAATACGATAAAATACATCAAAATAGTAAACCCTAAGAGCATCAAAACAGTACAAGACAATACAAGAGACACAGTAAACATTATATAAAATTACGATACATTCATTAAAATAATTATTTTATAATTTAAGAGAATTGAATATAGTTATAAAATTTGGTGCTAAAATTTCTCTTTTCATTCTCTATTTATAGGCTGTTTATTCTTTGCAGAAGATATTGTTTTAATAGAAAATTATGCTATTAAAACAACATCATTTGCAGATGACGATGTTGCTTTAAAAGCGTCATTCGCTTTTAAAAACAACATCGTCTGCAAAGAATAAACAGTCCATTTGTGTTTCATTTATAAATAGGCCTACCACACTCTGCTGTGAACGGAACATATTTACTAGTTCTTTTGATAGAAAAAGGGATCGGTGACAAAAACACAACTCTGTTTAACTGCTTCTGTCACTTCTAAGAAATAAGCATCTAAATGTTCTAACTTAACCGTACACGTTCTTTAAGATTGTCCAAAATTTACATCTTATACCAGCTTTCATGCTGTAATTAGTAATTTGTCACGCAACACAGTATCAAATGATTTACAGAAGGTATCCAGTCACCTTTTCGGAATTTCATCGAAGATCTTCTTACCCCCTACCCATAATGGCCTAGGCTAATAATACTATGATAATCGGAACCTTCGTAAATATTAAGATGTGCCTATGTGGGGAGTTTCCATTATTTGGAAAAATTGTAGGTAATGGTTAAATTGATACTGTAAATCGGTTACCCACCCTTTAATATATTCCGATCTATTTTTCTTCCTGTTCTAAAGGCCATTCTAAGTCTATGTAGCCCTTTCATATTTCAATAATCATAGCTTTCTTTAACACGTCATAGTCCTTGGCCCTGTGCTTATCTAACTTATGCCTGTTTAATTTTCCCGTCAACTCACGAGTCAATTTTGCGGACCAAATGTTTTTATCCTAGTTATTTGCCTCAGTCAAATTTTCAAAAGCACAGGCTTAATATATGCATCATCTTTATCCTTATTCAATTTAGGAACCCTTCCCTAATCATGGCATTTACCATTTTTGTGTAGGATTACAGAGCCTTGAGTAGCACTCAATTATATTTAATTTAAATTTAAATTTTTGCTGCATTTCTAATCTCTGTCTCCTCCACCATTTCTATTCTCCTCGTTTCCTCTTTTATTCTACATATATAATACATTGTTCTAAATTAAAACCATTGCTGTGCTGTAACATTAGGTGTATGCTTAACTCTTGATTCTCTAATTGATTCAAGTTATTTGCTACATCCTCATCATGTTGTAGTAAATCTGCAACCTCCTGTATTTCCCCGCTAAGAAACGTTTACTTTCGAGCGAATAGTAACACCAGTCGCAATTCTACGCGATTTTACACTGATGCCAATATTGAAAGTTAAATGAAACTAATTATCGTCTTTAACCTGTCAGTAACTTAAGGCTATGCAATTTCAAACTGAAGCTACCTTATACTACCGTCAAGAACATGTATAAAATTCCAAAAAACATGCAATCAACTTAATTTACCAACGAAAAAAAAAACAATTTGCAATTATAATTTACACTGATGCCAATATTATTGAAAGTTAAATGAAACTAATTATCGTCTTTAACCTGTCAGTAACTTAAGGCTATGCAATTTCAAACTGAAGCTACCTTAATACTACCATCAAGAACATGTATAAAATTCCAAAAAACATGCAATCAACTTAGTTTACCAACGAAAAAAAAAAAACAATTTGCAATTATAATTTACACTGATGCCAATATTATTGAAAGTTAAACGAAACTAATTATCGTCTTTAACCTGTCAGTAACTTAAGGCTATGCAATTTCAAACTGAAGCTAACTTATACTACCATCAAGAACATGTATAAAATTCAAAAAAACATGCAATCAACTTAATTTACCAACGAAAAAAAAAACAATTTGCAATTATAATTTCCAAGTACATTATAGTCTTATTAATATTTTATTGTACTATTATCTACCTATCTATCCATACGTCCGTCCGTCCGTCTATTAAAGTAATAACGTCAAAATGTTAAAAATACACCAGAATACGACGTATTACAAATATACAGAAAGTTAAAATGGTGGGAGGACACATATGGTCGGTAGCTTTTATTCAGTTACATATAAAATTCAACAATTAACAGCACAGACTTGTCTCTTATACACATCTAGATGTGTATAAGAGACAGGTTTAACTGCTTCTGTCACTTCTAAGAAATAAGCATCTAAATGTTCTAACTTAACCGTACACGTTCTTTAAGATTGTCCAAAATTTACATCTTATACCAGCTTTCATGCTGTAATTAGTAATTTGTCACGCAACACAGTATCAAATGATTTACAGAAGGTATCCAG